AAGATACTCTGGTAATCGATTACAACGGTTTTTAAGTTCAAAAAATTTGAAACGTCGTATCTTTTAAATTCAAAATTTTGAAGTTCCCTCTTCTAATAATCGATTACAAGGTCTGATAATGGATTACCAAAACACATTTTGTATTTGAAATTTGAACATTGAAGTTTCCTTGCTCTAGTAATCGATTACTTAAGTTGGTAATCGATTACTAGACAAATATTATTATGTTTGACCTTTTATTTTCTACAATGATTTGACATCATCAAAACTTTATGCATATATTCTTCCACAAGTATAAATATATATTGTGTCTAAATTTAAGTAAATACTTGTTTAGTTTTTTTTGAGAATAAGTGAGTTTCAATTATAGTCCTCTATATTTTTTGTTTTTTTATCTTTCAAAAGTTTAAAATACCATTTTCTATCTTTGTAAAATATTTTTAGTCATTCTTAATCAAGTGAAATTTAATTTTGACTCTTGTAAAATATTTTTCTTTGATTATCATTCATTAAAATATAAAAAAATATTTTTGGTATTTAATTATGATTTAAATAGACAATAACAATTATAGGTAATACCTTAAATGGACACTTAACCTTTTAATAAACATTAAGTAAGTAAACAATGATTACATAACAATAGAGACTAAATATATCATTGTTAAATTTTAGATGATGAAAAACAAGAAAAAAAATGAGCAATTAAAATCAAAACTTGCTCATTTTGTAAGAATTAAAATTATGTTTAAGTCTTAAATTTAACACAATTTATTATTTTTTTATAATTTTTTTTTAAATTTAATTGTTACTTTTATTCCTATTTATAAGACTCAATTTAGAATAATTATTTATTCTTTTATATAAAATTCAATTCATATTTTCTCATATACTAATTATTTTTAGACTAAAATATCCCCACTTAAAGTGTATTCTCTTAATTTGGTAAAATATATTAAATATAGCTCTTTAAAAAGTAGGTTAAATACCTATTTTGGTCCCTTATAATCTTTTTTTGTTTCAATGTAGTCCGACTTTTATTTTTGGTCTCAATTTGGTCCTAAACTAATTAATTGGTTTCAATTTAGTTCCAAATTAATTAATTGATTTCAATGTGGGACTTCCGTCCAAATTATTTAAACGGAGTTAACTTTTGGGCACGTGGATGCCACGTAGATGCATATGTGGATGCCACGTGGATGACAATTTTTTTGAAAACACCTGGACCCAGAACGGCCCGTTCTGAAACCGGAACGGGCCGTTCTGGTTGCACTTTTGGTGTGTTAATTTTGCATCCAGAACGGCCCGTTCAGGTGCAAAATTAACACACCAAAAGTGCAACCAGAA